GGGGGGGGGGGGGGGTTCCAACACACGGACGGGGAAAGGCGGAGAGGGTTAAACATAGAAGCGCGGCGGCGGGCAGCAGGGGGGAGACGGCCGATGGAGGCACAGGGAGATAGGCGAGGAAAAAGCAAGCACCCCTGGTGACGGTGGGTTGCAACAGCTGCCGCCGACAACGGAGCTAGAGGTCAACGGCAACCACGGTGTCCACGGCGACCTTGCCAGACGTACAATTATTAAAGCACAACTGCAACAGCTGTCGGCGACAACAACGGAGCTATAAGTGATAAGTACTCACGGTGTCTGTTGCGGCATCGCGTTTCGACACCCCGGGGAAACGCTGCGGCATGAACTCCGTGTACGGGCAGTTCTGCCACTCCCCGCCCAAGCACTTGTTCAAGAAAGCCGACAGCAGCCTGTCAGCCGGATCTCGCACCACGACAAACCTGTGTTAAGTAACGGTCCACGTAAGGGCGGGGGGGGGGGGCAACGTCAGTAGAAGTACCATCTCAACCTGCTCTACATGTATACCGCGGCCGCAACATAGATGTGCGACATACACATGGACGAACCGTCCCTTCCTTCCACTCACTTGAGCCAGCTATCGTCGTTCATCATAAGCTCGATGTCGCGGGCCTTTCTCCGGGCAAGCAGCGGTATTCCGTTCTTCCCCTGTGACACGAAAAAAAAACGCCACGTGCGCTAGTTACCATCGCGGCCACCCCGCATTGGAAAGATCCAGGTACAGTCGACCCCGCTTTAAGGACGCACATGGTTTCTACCGAAAAAAAACGTCCTTACAGCGTGGTTGCGTCCTCAAATTTCAGGGGACGATAGCTCACCATCCCCGGGGCCAATCATGCTATACCTCAAACTACGCGTCTTTTGCAAAGGGAGGGTGTGGTACGAAAAGTCAGCATCGCCGAGACGACTGGCAACCGTTTATTGACGTCGAACATATTAACAATACTTAAAACGAGACGTACAGCAGTCGGGGACGTGTTGAAAACACCAGATTGTACTTGGCCAACTTATATTATGTACTGCATAGCCGGCAGCGGAAGCACGAGGAAAGTCCAAGTAGACATATGTTTATCTCATTCTTGTGAAACAAAAAAAAACGAGCGTATTTCAGCGTCGCAACGAGGAACAACAGTACATATCACTGTCCCGGCGGAGACCAAAGGCTACCCTGATGGCTTTTCCTTCCACATATCGCGAAGAGTACCTCCCTGAACCCCCCCCCGCGGCTTGGCTCTACGGCTCTGTTGAGTTTCATGAGTAAACGAATGAACGGTCTTCGAAAGAAGGTACTGCGTCTCACGGTCTTCCCTTCTTGTACAGTACAAATACAGATAGCGCCCGCAGTTAAGAAAAATTCTGTTAAGAAAACNACGAGGAACAACAGTACATATCACTGTCCCGGCGGAGACCAAAGGCTACCCTGATGGCTTTTCCTTCCACATATCGCGAAGAGTACCTCCCTGAACCCCCCCCCGCGGCTTGGCTCTACGGCTCTGTTGAGTTTCATGAGTAAACGAATGAACGGTCTTCGAAAGAAGGTACTGCGTCTCACGGTCTTCCCTTCTTGTACAGTACAAATACAGATAGCGCCCGCAGTTAAGAAAAATTCTGTTAAGAAAACAGGCTCAAGTTTGTACGAAAAATAAGAAAAAGGGGCTAAGAAACATAGCTCAATCTCGGCTACAACGTAAGCAACGCCCTAGTAAGAAATATTATGGTGCGATACCCCCATGACATCAGAAAGCTGCGGTACTCCCACCACCCCACCAAGTAACAGAAATACATTTTTTTTGTAGGGGGCAGAGTCCCCCCCCCCCCGCNCCTGCTATTCACAGTGAGTGCTGTACTGTAGTACTGCCACACATCGCGGACAACCATATACTCTCCGCTGTTGTACGGGTTTGATGGCACTCTCTACCACCTCTCTTGAGGGCTTGATGGTGTAGATTGTCCTCAGTGATAAAAAAGTAGAAAAAAAAAAGAAAATAAGAAGTACTTATTGTAGTCTAAGGAATAAGAGAATCGGGAGGATACGACAGACAGTCCGAAGTAACAAGAAATGCCATATACGAAAATGGACGACTTGGGCCGGTACTTCGACCCAAAAGAAGGAATTGAGGTTCGGCCCGATTTTGACGGTTCTTCACTGCGGTCGCTATCTGTAGGATCGAACGTCCTCCAACCGAGAGATAACCTCGCCCTCGGTGAGGGACGAGGTTATGCACGACTTCTGCACTCACTGTGGTGCGTGGTTCGTGCAAAGAGCGGCCTGCAGGCTCGCAGGACACAAACAAGGGGGGTACGCGGCAGAAAAAATAGGGGTACCCCATTATCGTACATTCTGCCGGCCCTCCTGGTGTTCAGCAAAAAGGCCTTTAAGCGGGGAGATTCCTTAACGCGAGCGTCCTTAAAGCGGGGTCGACTGTATAAAGGGTGCCGGGAAGAAGAAAAAAGGAAAACACAATGGCAAGCCACGTCGGCGAGAAACGCATCTTCCGAGGGGTAGCATCGAGGGTTAAATGTGTTGTTCGGGAAACACGGCTGCGGCAATGGAAAAAAATAATTAGTGCGAGGCGTTTAGGACTTGCTACGATCGAATGAAACCACCAGCAGCAGACACAGCACCCACTCCCTCACCTGGTCGTGTATTGGTCCCGTATCCCAGTCCGGTATCCCGAGCATCCATCTCAGCGTCTTCCGCCATTCCGCACAAGCCACCTTGGAAACCCGGGACCGCGCGCAAGAGGATAACAACACAGCAGGATTCGGGAGGAAAACTGGTCAAAACGGGGCTCTCGCGGAAAGCACACAAGCGGTACCAGAGCGGTGGAGGGCGTTGTTTTCAACCAGCGCCCACCCCTGTCTAAATCTGCCACGCCGCACGTGCATCCGACTCAAGGCACACCGTGCCTACGATCCAACGGGATGGAAAAGATATCCAGCTCAGATCCGGCGTTCATTGTTCTCGCCCGCGGGGGCAAGGATCCCTATCCGCCTGAGGCACGTAGCAGAAAACGCGGCGGAATAACATCCACGCCTTCGTTGGCACCCGACGCTTAATCTGGAGTTGCTCCGGGGGCTTTTGATGTTGAAGGTTGGACACTTGTCACAGGGTTGTGAACGTCGGCACTTCACGCCTACTCTCGTTTTGGGCGGCTTTGACGTTGATGGTTGGATACGGCTTCCAGGGTTGTTGTAAATGCTTGCGGCAGTAGAAGGGTGCAACTGTAGCAAAGATCTCGAGGCCAGGCCGGTGGTGTCGTAGTGTCGTTTGGGACGGCGGTCCGCCGCTCAAAAAAGGAACACATCGCAGCAACCAACCGGCACCACCCCTTCTCCGCTGCGAGTACCGCTAAGGTTGAAAGTGGCAACGTACACCACACAAGCACAGCCCCGAGAAGGAGCAGAATTGTCAGCGTGCTCACCTACATCTCTACACATGAGCCGTGAGCTGTCTTTCATACAGGTCGAGCTTTGATACAGCAGGTCGAGATCCTCCCGCGCGCGAGTGAGGTCGCTTCAGCAACAATGCCGCTGTTGGAAACATTATCTCTTTGCAGCCATTGTTGCTGCTGCTTCGGTTAAGTGTTGTCTCCGTCTTATCTACTCTGGGCGGCTAGTCTAACACACCTCTCGATGCACCAAGCCGGGGTTGCACAGAGGGCGATAAGGAGGCTGTTTCGCCTCCGCTTTCCTCCTGCCTTGCTTGCCTTAATAATTTCAACCGCGAGAACGTTCAGCACCCCCTTCCCTCTTTCTAGGTTGAGATCGTTATGGTTGGAGAGACGTGCCGGCGGGTGTACGTGGCGAAAAGTGTTATCTGCCGACAGATCATTTTTCAACGGGAGTCGGGTGCAACTGGGTTGAGGACGAGGCTCGAGCAGTTGCTGTAACCTGGTCTATACGTAGGTGACACCTTCAAGTTCTGCGATGCTCCCAAAGTTTGTGCTTCACCTGTCGCTGCGCCCCTCCGGCCGCACAAGACAGATACCGACTGGTGGTTGATCGAGGCTCACTACTGTAAACACCTACGATGCCCTTGTGTGCACTCCGTCATGTGCTTTTACACACCTACACGTGATACGGCCTCTAATGTCAAGACAAAAACAACAACAAATACAACCCTACGTGCGTAGATCAGTTTGACTTGTCGTTCTAAACTACGCAGAAAACGGAGACAATCAACGTCCATCGGTGTGCACATGTGAAGCGCGAAGTATGAAGAGAGGATGGCCACTCTTGTGCGAGCTGTACAGCAGTGGTATCCATGCGTCAACCATGAGCGGAGTACGCTCACACCGCGCATCCGAAGTTCAGAATCCTTTCTCTCGCTAACAAAAGGAGAGAGAAAAGTATCCTGGTACATCTATAGGTAGTAGTTGCAGGCCCGCCTTGCGCACAGTGAACGCCATCACTAACAAGTACGACGCCTATGAAGACTGCCACCAAAAGCAACCCAGGCGATGCTGTCTATCGAAACACCGACCACTGCTGCTGCCTCATCCCCTTTCTCCCCCGCTGGAACGGCAGCACATGCTGGAATACACGACAGCGAGCACATCATCTCACCTTGGCTATCGGACAGTAGATCATCCCATCGCCCGGGACGTACATCGCCGGGTGCATGGCACCCGACGACCGCACGCGCATCCAGCGAGCCGCGCCCGCCCTCCCTTCCCACTCCGCGCCGTCCGCTCCCTCCAGGAACGGCAGCTCTGGCACGATGCTGCTGTTGTCCCTGCCGCCGTCATCATTAGTTCGTCGGTAGCTGCTCGGGCCACCTGGCCGTGGCCCGGTGGGTACGGGGCGAAACAACGCAGCAACTGCCAGAAGAAAGGATACCCCCAGGACCGAAGTAGCGAAGCGACGTCTGCGTTTTGATGGTGGAAATGTCGGCGGGAGGGGTGGTGGTGGTGGTGGTGACGGCGTCTCGCTTGCAGCGCTATTGGCGGCGCCGTCTTCTTCGTCCCTGCTGCCGCTGCTGCCGTAGTTGCTGCTGCAGCAGCAGTCGCCACCGCTGCTGTCACTGCGCCTCGGCTGCTGTTGGTGTTGGCGGGCAGACGACGGCCGGGAAGATCGAGGTTGCAAAGACGTCATCGAGTCCGAAGCGATCCGGGCCATCCCGACAGCAGTAGAGCCGGTCGTAAAGCCTTGTGTTGTGGGTCTGCTGCTGCTGCGGTGTCTTTCTCCGCCTCTCTGCTGGCCTGTCGGGCGGGGGCCAAGCAGATACCCAGGTCACATTTCCACTGAAACTGCGAAACCCCCTTGAAACGCTCTGCGCGCGCACCCGGCTCTTCTGTCTGCTGTCCAAGTCACACAAAAAAGGTTGTTAAAATTATTCGAGCTGCACCAGACTGACTGACTGTCCCTCTCACGCTGCTCCGCGGGAAACACCAAGAAAGTAGGTGCCGGAGACGACACGGCAAGCCGGGCTAAGCGGACGCCTCGAGAGCTTTGCATTCCCCGACGAGTGTGGGGGAGAAAGCCGCCGTGCGGTTGCTATTTTTTGGCAGTAGAGCACAGCGAGAGAGAGAAAGGGAAACGAACGACTCAAAAGGTAGAAGAGAGCCAAGGCCACAACTACGGGCCGAGCAAGGCGTGGATCGAGGTGGCAAGAGGAGAAGAACCAACACCTCTGACTTGCTTCTCGTGTAGCGGCGTCGGAACACGCTTGAAAGGAGAACGGACGGACACTCCCAGGCGTGGCTGGGCAAACGGCACCCCCGCCGCCGTTCGACCGACCAACAACACAAGCGAGCGAGAGGGAGGAGAAGAAGTGGAGTTTTTTTTTTGCTGGGAGAGACAACCGCGCTGCAGGAGCTCCCTTCCGACAAGAAGCAGAAATAGAGCGGCAGCTGCAGCCGACGGCGAGCAGCCATCATCATGGCGGACATGACCGAGAGGCTGGCGGTAGCCCGGAAGAAGGCGGAGGCGCTCAAGTCCGAGATAGCCAAGGCGCAGAACGACAAGAAGGACTGCACCATCCAGGAGGCGGCGGCGCAAATAGACCTCAAAAACCTCGGGCCTGGCCTGAAGGCCCGCCGTGTCCTGAAGGGGCACTTCGGAAAAGTGTATGCCATGCACTGGTCGGGGGACAACCAGAACCTGGTTTCGGCTTCACAGGTGAGCTTGCATCCCCGTGATCGTTGCGGTGAGACCGCCGCCGCTGGCTTGCTGCGAACGAAGTGTGGCGGTTGGGACGAATGGCAGTCTGCTTGCCTCTGCTGCTGCTTCGGCGTTGTCCTTCCTCTTGGCTCCATTTTTCAATTTTTTTTTTCTCTCTTTTGTACCAAGAGGCCCACCCTCCGGCTCACACACAGTCGATTTTGGCAGTGTTTTTCTATTCCGTGGTGTGTACAGTAGTGCTTTTTTCTGATCCGATGTTGTTTGGGCTCATCCTGGAATGAAGCTGTTTCCAGCCTCGCCCTCCATCCCTGCGACATGGCACACTCAAAGTGCTAGGCGAGGGTCTGTGCTGTTCCGCAGCCGAAAACTGTTGGAGCGCCTCCCACCAGCAAACAACAAGGAGTAGGCATGCATACGTATCTAGCTTGCTTGGACCGCCAGCGGCGCGTCTCTGGAAATGAGTTTTTTCAAAAATCGATCGGTTCTGTCTGTGCCCTCTTGCTCCCCTTCCTATTTTCTTGTTGCACACGGCACCACACGGCACAAAATTAGCATTGTTGCCTCGATCGAACGGAGAGAGGGGTTTGGTTGCACAACAATGCCTCAGCATGTAGTAGCACAGAGATCGCCGGGTGTGTTGCAACGCCCTGGGTTTCGGCCCGGTTGCACGGACACAGGGTGGATGCTTACGATATACGCCGGTTGTAGTTCTCACCAACAAGAAGATCGCTGCTGATGACAGCAAGCAGTCAGCCGAGATGATGCCAGAGATCGAGAGGACGGATTAACACCAATTAAGGAGATATGTAGATACACCACCCCCGTTCCCCACACCTCCACTCAAATCAAGTACACGGAGATAGAAAAAACTTGCCCGGACATGACGCCTTCGCCAGACACAAACGCACGCCCCGCCGCGGGGCAAATTGCACGCCTCAATTTACCGCTTGCCGCGTGTTGCCTGTAGTCACACCTTTTCCTGTCCTGTGCCAGTGCATACTGACCGAAGCAATCGATGTATACAGATGCGGAGTACCACTCCCGAATAATATATAAATATAAAGTGCGAGGGTGGGGAGGGGGGCGCAGACCGAAACGACCAGTAGCGCGAATACTACCGAAGAGAGAAAGAGGATACACAAGATAGTATAATAGTATAGACCACACATGAATACACAAATAATATTGTGTTACACTGAAAGATACAGGCCTCGATTATACAACTGCAACTTTTCATCACCAATAGTCGCTTAGGGGTGTGAAATCTGCAACCTCAAAAACGTGCGTAGATATTGACAGCTTGTAAAGATGAACACATCCGGAGGTGCGCCTTCCTGCCTCTTGGCTTAGCAGTTCCGAAAGAGCGACCAGAAGACATGACTCGCGCACACACCGCTTGTCATAGCAGAAGAAGGAACAACCGCCGTGTGTGGGTGCCCAGAGTCCTTTCACCTGACCGGTAGACATGGAGTACGATCCCCTTCAAGGTTTGAGGCTCCAAGGATGTGGCAAGCGTTCATTTGATTACACGTGGTAATCTCATCATTCCTGGCAGGGTCAGGGTTAGCCTTGATTTTGTGGGAAAGCCTCGTTTCCACACTCCACGCACACCTAGCAGAGGCGCAAAAAACGTTTTTTTTTCATGTTTTCTCCAACCGTATTATCCATACTTGTAGATACTCGAATGGCATGACGCAAAGGAAACACAAAGACGGATTGCGTATTTAAAAGGTAGAGATCGGTCGCATCCGCAGCAGAATTTAACCACTCGTGGGGGGAACAAGTATGGTACAGCACAAGCAGCGCGATACGGAGTACGCCATGGTGGCGTTATTTTCAACTCGTAAGCCATGCGCAAGGACACCTCCTCCTTAAGGGGTGCATACCTTCGTTATCCACCGCGCATGGGGCCTTTGTCCCCGATGTGTTGTTCATGATTCATACACCGCGATGCTCCTCGCTGTGTACCCCTCAGCTGATTTCCTCTACAATGCTTGTCTACAAATGACTAGACCTTCTCAATGAATATAGACGAATCCATAAGTTTTGGAAGCTGACCAACCACGGCTGTTTTGGTTTTCGGTTCTGTGTCCTTCTCGGCTGAAATTGTCGGGTAAGGTCAACTTGGACACATCATCCAGGAGGGGAAGGGGGGGGGGTGCTTGCTCCCGGACCATCCGCGGCTTTGTGACCCATGCCTACACCCTGTGCCAAGCAAGAGTGCAGGATCGTGTAGCAGCACCGTCAGCTAGTTTCTGTTGATACTAGGCGGGACTTGGGTTTATGGCAGGCAAGGCGGCTGCAGGGACGCGACTGAGCCAGTCAGAAAGGGGTGGTGATGCACTCGCCATGGGTTTATGGCGAAGCTGCTGTGTTGTTGCTGCTGTTGCTCGTGGTAACGCTTCACTGTTGTGTGTTTCTTGAGTTGGCATCGACCTCGCTGACCGGATGACCAATGAAGTGACGCCAGTCTTGTTATTTGTGTGTGTGAGCATCCCGGTGCTCCCGTCTTTCCCTTGCACTCAAGGAGTGGCCCCCCTGCTGCTGATATTGACGATGGCGCTGTGTACGTTGCCGCTGCTGCTACTGCTGCTGCTGCCCTGTGAGCGTAGGACGGAAAGCTGATCATCTGGAATGGCTACACAACAAACAAAGTCCAGGCGATTCCGCTTCGTTCTTCGTGGGTGATGACGTGCGCCTTCGAGCCGACGCAGGTGGGTTTCGTTAGTCTACGCAGCAGAAGTGATAAAGCAAACATATGAGATCAAGTATTCAATCCGTGCTTTGGGGTTCGGGTCAGGGATAGGGTCTGCCTGCCCCCTCCCAATTCTTTTTCTAGATACTCTTAAAATCCTGCGTAGGCGGTCCGTGGGGCTCTTTCACGGTGTTAACCAACCACGTACCGTGCTGGTGTCTTCGTTGCTGGTGTGGTGGTTAAATGTCCTTGTGGCGGGGCTTGTGTCAATCACTGTGTTTTGCAGCTGTCGTCGTCGTAGATTCCGTGCGTGTCGGCGCTGTCTGTCTGCTACCGACTCTAATGTACGTACGGTGTATGTTCATTTCGATGCGCTTTGACGGTTGGTTGTATGCACGTTTTGGTTTGTTGGTCCTCCAACTTTCATTTAAAACTCTTGTGTAGAAATACCATGCCACGACAGTGTCCCGGCACCATCACCGCTGCCGATGACGCTGCCGCGTAGTTGGTCGCGTTTTCGACCTCAAGCCACACGTAAGAAATAACGCACGAACCCACGACACATCTCACGACGAAAACGCACGGACGGACGGACGGACGGACGGACGGACGGACGATTGAGCAGGGCCGATTCGTAGCGTGCGGGGGGCTGGACAACTTGTGCTCGATCTATGAGCTCGGACAATCCACCGTGATGAGGGCCACGAGAGAGCTGGCCGCTCACGACGGCTACCTGTCCTGCTGCCGCTTCGTCAACCAGGTAAGAAGAAAGACTACTTGTGGTTGTTCTTTGCTGCGGCACGCACGCAACGTGGTGCAATCAACCGCTGCAGCAGTGGATGCAGACAAGACCACGCCAGGGTTGTTGTTAATTTAATTTTGCTTCTCAAGACATCTTCCGTGCCTACAAATCAATCGTGACACTCGTCAACCGGGCAGGAACAGGCGCGCTGTCCTCGCGCTGCGTGTAACCGCTGCAGTTTGTGGATAGAGACTAAGCCACCCCATCCAGGGTTGCGATGACTTATTACCGCCCAAGACAATCTTGCCTGCCTCAAGATCAATCGTATCGCCTAGGTGTGTATATTTTCACCGCCGAAGTAGTAGGTAGATACATGCGTGTTGTGGTTTCCTTCTCCGCCCACGCCGGTGTGTCTCGTGTTGGTGCAGCCCTTGGCTTGGTTTCTGGTTTTCGGTTGGCGTGAGGGGAGCGCGGATAGGATGAGTGTGGTGCGCGCATTCTCGACCTGTAGGACCGGATCGCGTGTATTTGCCGTTCATGGATTGGGTCGCGGTGGAACTCCGCGGGGGGGGGGGGGGGGGGGGG